AACCTCCTAAATCAATTAGCAGTTAAGAAAATGCCTCACAGGCATGGCTACAGGTCAGTCTGATCCAGGAAATTCTTCAGTTCATGTTTCTTCTTTCCAAGTGATTCCAGTTTCTGTTAAGCTAACAAAAACGAATGGGCACTATTGATCCCTTTTCAACTTGGCACACAAACACATCACTATAAGCTATACCCTTTTCATTGATTATCCTGGGACCAAGACTCCATGTTAGTATCAGAATGTAAAACACAGCCTGACTCTTAAAAGTCCTACAGTCTGACCCACACCCAGGGGTACTTGGGAGGCATAGATTAGAATCAATAGGCCTTTAAAAACAAAAAAATAAATATGTAAAAAAAGGATAGATAGTAATGGGAGACATGAAATGTGGGGGAGGGAATACTGAAGGGGGGCTGGTGAGGGGAGGGTGGCTGTATGAAATTCTGGAATCAATGAAATTAATGTTTTAAAAAGTCCCAGCCGGGCGTGGTGCCACACGCCTGTAGTCCCAGCACTTGGGAGGCAGAGGCAGGCGGATCTCTGTGAGTTCAAGGCCAGCCTGGTCTACATAGTGAGTTCCAGGACAGCTGGGGAAACAGGGAGACCCTGCTTCAAAAAGACAAAAAATAAGTCCCAAGTTCTCTTTAAAAATCAAAAATCTCTGTGGACTCCTGTAAAATCTGAAACAAGTAAAATATATTCTTATTCAAAAAGGGAAGATCTAAGACATAAAAACAATCACGCTTAAGCAAAACCAAAGCCCAGCAGTGCCATATTCTCTAAGTCAGTATCCAACATCTAAGACTGGGTGATCCCACTTGTCTGGCTCTTCCATCTGCAGTAAATACAGCTTATCTCATAGGCTCCAGGCTGGCTCCACTCTACAGCTGCTGTTGTTCTTGGTGGCTGTCCCACAGTCCTGGCATCTCAGTATCCTTGGTTCTCCAGTGCAGCTATGGCTGCACCTTCACTAATGGCCTCCTGATCTCTCTGCAGTGACTCTAACCCTGCCACATGGTGCAAAGCATTAGCTTCTTTCTATGACCCCTTCAATTATGGGGTTTCTACTGCAACTGAGGCTGGACCTTCACCAGTGCCTCTTTTGACCTCTCTAAGTCTCAAGACTCAGCTTCTCTCCATAACCCTTTCTGTCCTGAAGCTTTCATGCCACCAAAATTAGTACCATGTAGAAGATTCTTACACATTATTAAGTTCAACTGCCAGCTTGGTCTTATCTGGACCACAGATTCTGAATTCTGACCCTGAGGAACTACTCCCTAGAAGATTTCCCTCAATGATTCTGGTCTCTTTTTAACCACAGATAGCTAGCTAGCATCCATTGTCCTAATAAAACACAAAAGATTTCACTTCCAAAGATGCTGACTTCAGATATATCACACACATGACACTGATAGAGTCTTTGCTTCCCTCTGAACTTCACAAACCAGGCCTCCACCATCTACATTTCATTCAGCATTATCTTCCCACTTCCCACTACAGCTCAAAGTTCCAAGCACCTCCATAGTACTCCTAAAAAACATGGTCAAATCTGTCACAGGAATACCCTCACATTTCTGGAACCAGTTTTGTTCCTAGTTTGCATTCTACTGTTGTGGTAAACACCATGATTAAAACAAAGTTACGAAGAAAGGGTTTATTCAGCTTACAGTTTACAGTGTATCACCAAGGGAAGCCAGAATAGGAATTCAAGGCAGGAATACTGCTTACTGGCTTGCTTCCCTGACTTGCTAAGTTACCTTTCTTAAACAGCTCAGGCATGCCTGTCCATGAATGGTACATACCCCACACAGTGGACTGGACCCTCCCATATCAACTAACAATGAAGAAAATTCCTCAGAGATATGGCCACAGGCTAATTCGATCTGGAAAATTCTTCAATTGAGGTTCTCTCTTCCCGCTGACTCTAGTTTGTGTCAGTGTAGTATCTCACTGGTCCCTAGCTGTTTGTGGACTGAAACTGTGTTCATTTATACTCAGAACCCCAGCAATTGACAATTGACTGCTTAATAGTTTTTGTGCCTTTAATTGCTCTACTTAGACTTATCTGTAGCTATGTATGTTCCTATGATTCCAATAAAATGGTACTTCCAACATTTTAGTAGAATGGCACTTTGGAAAAGTCATAAAGATGTACAATCTTTATGATAGATATGAGTCTCATTATTTTTATTTTGAGTGTATTGCCTGACTGTATGGAAGTGCACCCATGTTGTATAATGCCCTCGGAGGTCACAAGAGGGAGTCAGATCCCTTGGAACTGGAGTTAGAGCAGTTTTTAGCTGCCATGTGGGTGCTGGGAATTGAACCTCGGTCCTCTGCAAGAGCAGTTGGTGCTCTTTTACTCCTGAGCCAACTCTCCAGCCCCCAGATGTGAGCCTCTTAACACTCATAAGATTAAATATGCTATTCATTTGACTGATGACAAAGATAAAGTTGGCTTTGATCAGGATGCTGATGAGGAATTTGAAAGAAGTCCCTCACTGCAGCAGGTATTAAGCTCAGGGCCTCATGTCCTGGGCTATATTCTCCACTCCTGAAGCAAGTCTTTCTCCGTTCACTGATGGAATTTTAGGTTTCACCAGCTATAAAGCAATTTCCTTTGGAAGTGCATTATGGGACAGTGTTTAGCTTTCAGTAGGGATTTTTTTTGTATTTCATATAGAACATCTCAATCTTAATCATCTTTATACCCCCAGCACACTCCCATAGCTGCCCCCACTGGAACCCATATAATCTGTCATCCCTGTTAAGGCCCACTCTGTCAAGTCAGTGTCCCCAGCCATTCCCCAGTGCAAATCCATCCACTGAGGTCTAGTCAGCCTATCTAGAGTCCCTTGTTTTAGGAAGATCGCTCTTCTACACTTAGCAGAAATCAGTTGCCAATATTTCTTCAGCTAAGATTGGGGTCTACTGTCCATTTCCCAGTTCTATGCTGGGATATTGTCTGCCTGAGTTTGCATGGAACTTGTGTATGCTGACACTGTTGCCATAGAATCATATGAGCAGGTTCTCATGATCTTGTAGGAGTCTGTTTCCATATGGTCCTGCACCTCCTCCCTGGCTCTTACAATCTTTCTGCCCCCTCTTCCATGATGGGCCCTGAGCCTTGGGTGGGTGAAGTTTAATAAAGGAGTCCTGCAAGGACCAGCAGTTAGCAGACTCTTGATTTCTACGCTTTAGCCACTTGTGAGCTTCTGTGTTCCTGGCCCTCTGCTGCATGAGGAGCTTCATTAATGAGAAGTGAGAGATTCATCAGTATCCTCTTCTTTACCCCTGTTCTATGTTCCATGAGCCTTAGGTGTAGAGATTGCATTATAGATGTGTCACTTAGGCCTTGGCAATTCATAGACAACGTCCATGTGTGACCAGTTGTGGTACTTGGTAATAGTCTCCAACTGGTGCAAAATGAGCTTTGATGAGTGGTGACTGGGGTATTTGTCTATAAATATAAGGATGCATATTTTGCACATAATAAGAATTCACAATAGTCTAAGGATGTTATAGTCTTGGGAGTTTTCTCTAAGATCTATGACTACTCTGGCCATGTGTATTAGGTTACAGTATCACACTTGAGTTTCCTCCTTTTGAGTGGGCTTTTAGTCCAATTAGGTAGCTGTTGATTGCCCCCAAGATAAAAGTGCCACTATTGCACCAATGGAGTATGCTGTGCTGGCCATTGATGTGGTTATTTGGTCTTGAAGCTGGTGTTGGACCATCCATTGATGTTTTCCCTTGGCACCTTCATAGCAGTCTCCAAAGCTATGAGAGCTGCCTTCAGGGAAAGTGGCTTTCAGGTCAGTAGCAGCTCTATTGCTCCAAATCCTGTGTCTGAAGTATGCTCTGTCTTCACCAGTAGGGTCTTTCCTTCAAGTTCTGAGAGGCCACCAAGGGCTGTGGCAATAGCCTGAGTAATTCTGGGAGTCTCTTGGACTACCCTGGCCAACAACTCAGAGGAAGGTTTCTTCTTTCTGGCAGTTTCTTGTTATGCAGCCTTTAACTAAACACATGGAGCCATGTAGAGATAATGTATGTGTAATTTGTCATTAGATTGTTGGACTAATATGATTCTCTCTGGTTTTTTAAAACTAGCTAGGTATTATTTATCTCTCTCTTCTCTCTCTCTCTCTCTCTCTCTCTCTCTCTCTCTCTCTCTCTCTCTCTCTCACTGTCTAACCCTTCCTCCACGGTTTCCCCATTGAAAGTGTCCCCATTTTCCCCATTTCTCCCTTGAAATACCAGTTTCCTATGGTCCCACCTCTCTTGAGCTCCTTCTTTTCCTTTATCCCCAAGGTTCCTTGTATAACTCTCCCTCTTCCCTCCCATTCAAGTAACTCCATTTTTATCCATTTCTCCCTTAGTAACATCCTGTTCTCCTTCTAGCCATGGGCACAGGCCGATTTCTGCCCTTAGCACCCCAGACCTCTGGACTACCCTCTTGGCCCAGAGCTTTCCTTAGTTTTAAGTAGCCTCAACTTATGAAATGATAACCCAGTGTCTTCAGAGTTTAATTAATACTTTGAACATGATTAATTTATCACCAGAGAAAATGTTAATTACCTGGAAAACAGTGAAAAAAATATAAGGTTTTTTACTGAAATCTTAGTAGCAAATCAGAGTCTTATTTTGAACCATTGAACTGTATCAGAAGACTACTGATGGCATTATATAAAATAATAATTGATATGATTCTTCTTTATCATGATCTTCATAATGTCTTTTTTATTTTATTACTTTATATGTATAAGTGTATTACCTGCATGTATGTAAGTGAACCCATATCATGCAGTGTCCACAGAGGTGAGAAGAGAGCATTGAATTTCTTTAGAACTGGAGCTACGGATAGTTGTTCATCTCCAAGTGGGTTCTGGGTAGTCGAACCTGGGTTACCTACTAAAGAGCAGCCAAATCTCTTCGCCACTGAGCCATCTCTCCACAACCTCACAGCATCTTTTGTTTAAATAGTCTTTCTTCCTCCCAAAGGAGAATGCACCATTCCTGGAGGTACTGCAATACCAGGTTGATGTGTGGAGTAGGTGGAACAAGCTCCTATTCCATCTCCTAGTTCCAAAAGTCCATTTAATATATTGTTCTCGAATAGAGCACATATCAGATATTAAACTGATAAGAACAGACAGTATACTTGATGTTAGCCAAAAGGCTGGGAAATGATGATAAAGTTTAAAATTCCTAGAATAGGGGCTGGAGAGATGGCTCAGTGGTTAAAGAACACTGGCTGTTCTTGCAGAAGACCAGGGTTCAAAACCCAGCACCCACATGGCAGCTAAGAACTATCCATAATTCCAGTTCCAGGGCATCTGACAGTCCCTTCTGTCCTCTGAGGGCATTGCACGACACGGGTGCACTTATCTACATGCAGGCAATACCCACATACACATAAAAAATAAAAATTAATTAAATAAAAAAACACACATTTAAAATTCCTAGAACACTTGGATTTTCTATATATTTGGAATATGTATTTGAAATATGTATGTATGCATGTATGTATGCATGCATGTATGTATGTATTTGAAAACATACTGAGAGTTACTGAAGCACAAGTCTATGGACATCATTGCTACTTTGGTTTTCTTCTTTTAGTGAAAGATGTCATGTATATCTGCCCATTTATGGGAGCAGTGAGTGGAACCCTGACGGTGACGGACTTTAAAATGTACTTCAAAAATGTAGAGAGGGTGAGTTTTTTTAAGTGTACTTCATTTTTCAAATCTGTGCACAGTAAAAGAAGAAAGTAAACAGTCTGCATTTCCATTACAGGGAGATGACAGGGCAGTGAATTTTAAGATGTCATATTTGTGTACAGATTTTGAGTCCTGATCAAAAATTAAAGTACCATTTAGACGTAGAGGGGAAGTTTCATTATAGTGTCAGTGTAGACTTCCTGGGTATGCTCGTATATTCAGATTCTTAGCTGTGGCAAAGAAACTGTATTTCAATGTAAAGAAAAAATTTTGTAAACCTGGAATGATTTAAAACGCAAAAACTATGTTGACTGACCTTGATAGGTGTTAACTTCAATTTTTAAATCTAGGACCCACATTTCATCCTTGATGTTCCCCTTGGAGTGATCAGCAGAGTTGAGAAGATTGGAGCACAGAGCCATGGAGACAATTCTTGTGGTATAGAGATCGTGTGTAAGGTAGATTTTAAACAAGAGTCAAAAGTGAAATGAGGCAATCTGCTCACAGCTATTTCTGACTTATTCTTTATGGTGTTTGGATGTTACCATACTCTTACGAGTAATTTATACTGTTTTCAGGGAAGCAACCCCTTCAAATATTACGTGAATGAATTCAGACCATTGCATAACTCATCCATATAATCCTTTTTGAAAGTGGAACTGTTTCTAATTAACCTGCAGCCTAAGTACTGCTATCATTTGTCACATCCCAGAGAAACTAAATGGAAATCAGAGCCTAGTACTCTAGTTTATAATGGCTGGCTCCTCAACACAGGTGTTGGTCAAAGACTTCCCCAAGGGACTGCATGGTCTCTGAATTTCATAATTAAAGGTTCTTGGCTATGTTGGAGTATTCCACCTTGAACCATGCTTTTTTGCTGTTTTTCACTTCCTTCAAGGAGTTAGGTAGGAATGTGTGGAATAACTTTAATGATGGTCACCAAAGAAATACCCAAAATGGGTAGAGTTTAGGCCTAGTGACTTTACCTCGTAATGTGGTTTACTATAAACTGACCTACTAGGACAAGATTCATGCCTGAAGAGTCATCAGGGACTCTTCCAAAGCTGGGGTTTGAATTCCAGCCCATCTGTTTGCTTTGCAGCAATCTCGGAGGACAGCTCTCTATGACTGGCTCAAGCACACAGTTAAATCTATTCTGTTTTCAAAGAGACTTTTACTTGAATAGACTATGAATCTGCAAGCTTACTAGACTCACTGTACTGGCTGTTTTTCCCTTTGGTATGTTGCAGATCCCCTTCCTAGGCAGGGTTCCATCTTTGGAGCAGCAGTAAACAGCTGCAGGGCTTAAGGCATAAAGGTGACTTGGGCAGTTCTGTAGTTTTTGAAAGCTGCCATTGCTCGTCTCATAATTTTTTGTGGAAGTTGGGGGAGGTAGAAGGGAGGGCCTTACAAATGCTAGACAAGTGCCCTATCTCTAAACTAATTTCCGGCCCCTTCTCACAATTCTTGTGTGGCTTCCTATTCTTGGGCTCTAAGGAGCATGACTGAGCCTGCCTGACTTTCTTCTGCAGCTCATCTTGAGCTGTTCTCACCCTTCCTGCTACTCCATTGCTTTTCTGTAGATGCTCATATTTGCCACTTGCCCATCTCGTCACATACACCAAAGTTAATAAATCTTGGTACCCACCCCCTTGTAGATGCATGGGTAGAACCCAGAGCTTCTCACGTGTTAAACACATGCTCTACCACTAAGGTACACCTCCAGCTCCACACCAGGGACTTTGCATATACATTCCTATGGCTTAGAATTTCTTTGCTTCTCTCTGAGCATTCCTAAACAGCAAGTGAGTTATCAGGATGTGTGTGCAGCAGTGTAGCTTGAAGAGTGGGCATGTCAAGAAGTGGTGCTGCTGTGGCACGTTTCCTGCTTCTGTTTTAGTAAGGTATGTTTCTGACTGGCATTGGCATTTGCTAACAGCTGAGTTAAATGTTTACTAGCCTGGAATTCCTAAGGCCAACCTCTCATTCCTCTTGGTTCATGCCTAAGAACCTCACAAGATGTGGGGTTCTATTTTTAAATAAGTGATTCATAATTCAAAAGTACAAAAGCTATAATAGTAAAAGGTCAGTATTGGGGCTGGAGAGATGGCTCAGCGGTTAAGAACACTGATTGTTCTTGCAGAAGACCCGGGTTCAAATCCCAGCACCCACATGGCAGCTAACAACTGTCTGTAACTCCAGTTCCAGGGGATCCAACATCCTCTTCTGTCCTCTGCAGGCATTGCACGACACGGGTGCACTTACCTACATGCAGGCAATACACGCATACACATAAAATAAAAATAATAAAATACTTTTTTTAAAACGTCAGCCTTCTTCCCCACTCTTCCACTCCCTGAAGACACTCACAGTTATTAAATGTTAAAGAAGAATGATATTTTTGTGCTTAGCTGGCAGGAACATTCATAGATTTTAAAAGGTTGGGAGGCAATGCTTAAAGTATCGTCATAGGAAGAAATCATATCATTAGAGCTGGGCTTGGTGCAAAATTCCTGCTAACTTGTTCTTGGGCCTTTGGTTATCAGCTTGCATTGGGGTACCAGGGTGCATTTTAAGAAACCAATCTTTCAGCCAAGCCTGGTGGTCCACACCTTTAATCCCAGCACTTCGGAGACAGAGGCACTCAAATCTCTGTGAGTTCAAGGCCAACCTGGCCCTACATAGTGAGTTCCAGGCCAGCTGGGACTACAGGGAGACCCTGTCTCAAGACAAAAAAAAAAGGAACCAATCTTAAGAAATAGCATTGTAAGACTGTTTTTGAGAGCCATCGTCTCCACATGATGCAGATTTCTTTCTCTTAGTATGTAGTGGCAAGCATCTGCCACATTCTCTTTCATAGATGAAATGAATTCTGTAGTTGACTTTTTCAGCAGCTTTAATTGAACAATAAATTCCTTGACACTTCTTTAGCAAGTAAAGCACACAGCACTTGATGGCACAGCTTTTGTGTGAAAACATTGTGCTTAATTATTTATGTTGACAGCCCTCCTCTGCACACACACACATCCCCTTTGTATCAGTTTACTTAATTTTTCAAATCTTTTTGTTAAATTGCTTTCTGTTAGCTGGAGAGCTATAGAGTACAAAATAAGGAATATATAAAAATATTTTATCTATTTATGGCATATCTGGCTAACAGGCACTCAGTACTTGTTGAATAGCCGAGTTTTGCTAATTGTTTACTAGGATATGAGGAATTTAAGACTTGCATATAAACAGGAGGAACAGCGTAAACTTGGGATATTTGAAAACCTCAACAAGCATGCGTTTCCTCTTTCCAATGGACAGGTGAGTACATGAAAGTAAACCTTTCCTGCATTGGTGGGGATTAAATACCTGTGTATTTGATTATTCCTTTCTCTGGAGGTTCCCTTTATTTCTTTTCTGTGTTGGTAACTAAGTTAAAATGTTTGGATTTTTTCAGTTCCATGTAATGATTAAGAAAAGCTTCTAAAAAAAAAAAAAGCTTCTAATCTGTTACTTTAAAATCGACAGTTTAACTGGGCATGGTGGCTCCTGCCTTTAATCCTAGCACTCAGGAGGCAGAGGCAGGAGGATCTTTGAGAGATAGAGGCCAGCCTGGTCTATATAATGAGTTCCAGGCCAGCTAGGGCTACAGGGAGACCCTGTCTGAAAAAAAAAAAAAACAGAAAAATTTGAAGACTAAAGTAGGACTTTTAACACATCCAACTGATATCACAATCCTCAAAGCTTCACTGTTTGCTGTATGTAGCAATGACATAATACTGACACGTTTTGTGGTTTTTTTTGTATGTCCAGGCACTGTTTGCATTCAACTATAAAGAAAAGTTTCAAGTTAATGGCTGGAAAGTTTATGATCCAGTGTCTGAATATAAGAGACAGGTAAAGTATGTTGCTTATCAAATTGAACATAATGGCTTAAATATCTTTCTCTGTACTAAAAGGTTAAAGATGTAGTTGAGGAGAAGAAACTGTCCAACAAGTTGTACCTAGGCCTAGATTTTTTCTAGCTTGGAGATTCTCGATTTCCTGGATGCCCTTCTCCTATGCCTTACGTTTGAATCTATCACTGGTTACTCATGATTTCCCAAAGGATAAAACGTCTCATGGACAGGGGTTTGGAACTCAGATAAAAGCCCCTTCCTCCTTCCTTCCCTCTGTCCCTCCCTCCCTACCTTCTTGCCTCCCTGCCTCCTCTCCCTCTCTTCCTCTCTCAGGACTTTGCACATGCTAGGCAAGTGCTCTAACATTAAGCAGTACCCCTAGCCCATTCCAGATGTTTTTTGCAGATCTAATAAAGAGCTGATGAATAAGGATTCAAACATCTGATATGTTTGTTTTGAAACACTGCTAGTTAACTAACAATGAATGCGTTATAAATGAATTTGGTGTTTTAAAAGAAGAGATAGATGATGTGATTCATGCTTAGTCCTTTTTCAAAGTAGAAATGTCAATTTTCCACTCTTCCTTCTTCTCTAACACCCTGCAGGGCTTGCCAAATGAGAGTTGGAAAATATCCAAAATAAACAGTAATTATGAGTTCTGTGATACTTACCCTGCCATCATTGTTGTGCCAACTAGTGTAAAAGATGATGACCTTTCAAAAGTGGCAGCCTTTCGAGCAAAAGGCAGAGTCCCTGTAAGTACAAAGCATAGGAAACATAAAAGGGGAAACATACTAAAAGAAGTGCTTCCTATTTGGAAATGCAAGGGTGGCTATGCTAGAGAACAAGAGTAGCAAGAAAGAGCATGCTGTTGTCCTAACAGCTCACCTCGCTGCTTGCACCAAATCATCCTAGGCAAAATACATTCTTTCTTCATGCTGCATAGAATGCTGTAGCTACATAGGAGCGACACTTACTGAAACAGCTGTGGCCAGAGGAAGTGATAGATTTTGCCTGGAGCTTCCATCAGAGTAATCTTGAGTCACTTGCCTACTGCAGGAAAGTGGGTAGTCTGATGGCAGAGTTTTAGATTTTATAAGAGACTTCAGCATGCAACTTATGTTATTGTAGAGATACAAAGACTTTTTAAATTCAAAGACAAAATAAAAGTAATCAAATAGGAAGGGGGCTCAAATTTAGTAATAGTTTGACTTAGGTTTCATTTTGCTTAGAATGATAAAATTTCAGAGGCAGAAGGGGAGTGTTAGAGATTGTGTAATCAGATCTCTTTCAACCTGACCAAGGCATTGAATCTTTTGGCCACTACAGTACTGTGATTTGCCTACTCACTCTTATCGGTGAGGAAAACCTTGAGGAGAGATTGTGCATGTCTTCTGCAAATATTTACCCACAAATATGTATTATTTGTTGCTTTAAAACATTAGGTGTTGTCATGGATTCACCCAGAAAGCCAGGCAACAATTACACGTTGCAGCCAGCCTCTGGTGGGTCCCAATGATAAACGCTGCAAAGAAGATGAAAAATACCTGCAGACAATAATGGATGCTAATGCACAGTCACATAAACTTATCATCTTTGATGCCCGACAAAACAGTGTTGCTGATACCAACAAGGTACATTTTCCATGACCTCGTAGAAAAATTGACTATTTTCTTATATACTTTCTATAAATCTGCATACTTTTGGAACACCCCATAGACTTCCTTACCATCTGAAGTTTGAGTCTTTTGGAGTACTCCATGGCTGTTCCTCTCTGGTTAATTCTCTATGTTTGGCTTCATACAAGGGTTGGCGTCTTGTCTTTTTCGTTGCTTTTCTGCAGTCCTTCGTTGCTTTTCTGCAGTCCTTTCTGATGAATCAATTAAGCAAAGATCCAGAAAGAGAATTACCTAAATGAGTATTTTAGTGAAATGACCATATATTCTTGGAAGTCCCTCTAATAAATGTAGTAATCATTTGATCTATTCCTATATGGTGTGAAGCTCTTTTAGAATGCACTCAGCTATGTGAAACTGTGAAAATATACTAATTTTCCAGAAGTCACATGAAGCAGTGGTCACATACATCAGGTGACAGTGAAAAGTAGTACAAACACCTGTACATATGTCTCTCCTTTCATCTTCTCTAGCTGAAGGATGTCAAATCCTTTGTCTAGTGAAAACTTTGAGGACAAACTTCTGCTACCTGTTACCCAAGTAGGAAAGACTTTGATTTGAGTCATTTCCATTTCACATGAATGACTTCCCAATAGTCTATACCTATAGACAGGCATTCAGCAGTCAGAGGACTTTGCCTTCTTCTCGTGAAATTTCAAGTATAGAAATTCAAGTATAAATTTCAAGGTGGCGAGCCCTTACCATCTCATGCCTACTCTTGTAAAGTGACACTTGGGTAGCACACTTCTAATGAACACCCACTAGAGACAAGATGCTGGGGGAAATACAAAGGCAGAGAAGGTGAGGTGCTGTAAATAGGAGATGTAATTGGTGCGCTGGCAACAGGGGGTGGAATGATTGGTCCTGCTGCTGACTTTCCTAGGGCTTTACAGAGAAGATAGTACTTGAGCTGCCTTTATATGGTCAGAAAGATGGGCAGGACCAGGCTGGCCTTGAGCTCACAGAGATCGATTTGTCTCTGCCTAAGTGGTGGGATTAAAGGCATGGGCTACCACACTCAGCAGGTGTGTCAAATTAACAGCTAAGATTAGCCTTCAAACCTACTGAGCTAGCTCACTAGCCAGACAGGTGTTTTGTTTGGTTTGTTGGTTGTGTTTTTTTTTAATAAGAGTAGCAGAAACAAAAAAAGTGTTGGGGGGGAGATCAGGAGCAGAGATGGAGATGGAAATTATAAACCTAGGTAGAGTCTATAAACATAGGAATGTCCAAGGCTACTGGTAACTAGAGGAGCTAAGGAAGAGTCCTCTTTGTGGTTATTGGAGTTTATTTTTAATTTTAGTTTTATTTTTGAGAGTTTCTGATAATGTTACATTCTGAACATACAAAAGGGTATGAAATGAATTTTTCCAGGATTATTTCGAAGGATGGTGCCATTCTATCACTGTCTGCAAAGCACTTTCACATACTGTTGCCGTAGGTCATTTTGTCTCTTAATTAAAGTAAGACACCATATGTCCTTAGTTTTGGCTTGTAGTGAACGGGGGAAAAGAGGATTCCCTAGAGGTTCTTAGTCTCATTCATAAAAAAATTGAAGAATGGACCCAAGCAGCAGAAAGTGGACAGACTTACAGGGACCTGCATGACTGTGGCTGGTCAGAAGTTCTGCGGAGTTCTGCATTACAAGGCGGGATTCCAGGCAGGAAAAATTCGCTGCCTCATTAATGCACCAGGTATTCCACCCATCTATTTAGCACAACTTAAAGTGAACCTGCCTTCCTAGGGGTGGTTCTATCACCAGGTGATTGGCCAGTGAGACAGGAAAGGTGGGTCCTCCAACAGGTAGACTAGGGATTTTATAGTCTTCACCAGTTAAACTTATGGGGCGTTTTGCTACTCTAACATTCCCTCCTCTGAAGAGGTAACCCTAAAATCATTTAGGAATCAGATAAGAGGTCTCAAATACTTTTGACATTTTTGGCCTTTGGAACAGAGTATGTTGCTAAGAGGCCCAAGGACATGTTAACTTTTAGCCAAGAAACTGGCTACTTTGGGGTCTTTTTACCGTAAACTGCCTAGCCAATTCCTACCTCCTATTCTTATCACACCATCCTCTGAAGAGGTTACTCAGCTTGTGGATAGGAAATTGGGATGCAGACCCCTCTGGCTTCTTCCATGCTGAACAGGGATGCAGGGTGATGCAATTTAGGTACCCCTTCAGTGTGTCTAGCTAAAAGACTCCCAAATTGAACAATTCTTAACTGTAGGGAGAAAAGAAAATCATTGACTTGTGCCTTGGAGATGTGAAGGAGAAGTAAAGGCAAGAGTAGTTAGCATTAAAAGTTCTAGACAGCGAACCAGGAAAAGGACAGAACAGGGCAAATTTCAAATGACTCATATGAGAGTCCATTGGAATTTCTTGAGGAGAGCTTCCAAAAGCATCCCTGCATCCTCATTTTTCTTTAGTCTGCCAAGGCTAGACTCGAGAGTGATGGACTCTGGATTTGTTTTCAAGCATTTCGGTAGCGGTTGGAGTGGCTAGAATCAAAGGCTTCTGGATAGGGGAAGAAAACAAATTTAGCCATCATTTTAGAACAATAGCTGGTTGTCTCCCTTAGCTACAGATGAGCACTACAGTATTGCAGACCAAGATTTGAAGTCTTACATCTGAGCAGTACTTTCTTAACTTTCTTATTAGCATCAATGAGAAATAATTGTCTAAATAACATTATGTATGGACTAAAGCCTAATGTCTGAGAAGTGTAACGCTTTAAGAAATATACTCATCACTTTACTCTTACTGATGACTTTACTCTTTGGTTATACTTTCTTTTGGGTGTTTAAGACCGTAGAGTTGGCTTAAATAAACCAATTTATTTTTACACTTGAAGACATTTGAGGATCTGTTTCCTCAGGGGTCACATGGGCTTGGGAGGGGCTCCTTTCATTTACTTAGTTCCATCTATGTGAAGATAACTCAAAGGTCCTGCTCAACCATGGCTGGCTTCACTTGGAAGCATGGAGGAAATGTTTCCTCTGTGTTGACTCTTCTCTTTGTAGACTGGTTTTTCACATAGGATACTCATCATTGGGCATGACTGTGATAGTATTTCCAGAGAAGTGTAACTGTAGAAGGAAGAACCACCCTGTATCCTCTAAAACTGACCCAAAATAATTATTTTCTTCCTCTAATTTGTTTTTCTCAGGTATTTTGTCACAGCAACAAGAAAAGTAGCTAGAGCAGTCCCCTAGAGGTTTCTGAGGGAGCCTGACCTTGTGGCACCTGTATTTCAGCCTCCCAGCCTTGAGAACTTAAATGCAGTGGTGGTAGTACACTGCAATGTAGTGGGACATTTCTGTTGGTTATGTTACTCAGTTAGTGGTACTCTGATCTGGAAGTTCTACAGCAATCATACAAGGACATAGGAAGATTTTTAGCAGAGGAGTTTGTTGTCTTTAATGGTCTATGTTTGGTCATAGTAGAAACAATAGAAAAGTTAATTCCAGAAGTGATGCATTGTGGTTGTTTAACCAAGAATGAGCCAAATCTGTTCTGAAGTGTTCCAAATTCATCCCAGAACTGTTCCCTCAAATGAAGGGCATACTCTGTATATTTATTGAACAGCACATCAAGTAAGGTATGGAAAAGGAATGAGGAACTTAGTCTTAAAGAATCTTTAGCCAGAGTTTTACAAGGAAAGTAATTGCCTTTTCTGACTTCTGTCCAGTGTTTTGTCTTTTTTTTCTAATTAAGACATCTAACCATAAATAGTTCTTTAAAAATTTTTTTGATTTATTTATTTTTATTTTGTGTGTATGTGTTATGCCTGTATGTGTATAAAGAGGACCCATGTTATGTGGTGCCCACGGAGGACAGAAGATGGCATTGATCCCCTGGACTAGAATTATGAACTGTTGTTAGCAGCCATATGGGTGCTGGAATATGAACCCACATCTTCTGCAAGAATAGCCAGTGCTTTTAACTGCTGAGCCAGCTCTCCATCACCACCATCAATATTTCTATCTCCAAGTGGCTTCTAAACATTACAAATCAGTGCATCTTGACATGAGATCTTTTTGACTTTCCTTCTGGCAATAGTTGGACTATGGTATTTGTGGAAAGTTTTACTGACAATTAAAAATGGACAATTTATTTATTTATTTATTGTTTGTTTGTTTGTTTGCAGGCTTTCATGTAGCCCAGGCTGGCCTTCAACTTTGTTGTGTAGCTGAGAACTATCTTGAACTTCTTTTTTTGGTCGGGGGAAGGAAAGGGTTTATTTGGCTTACAAGTTATAGTCCATCCTCAAGGGAAGTCTGGGCAGGAGCTCAAGGCATGAACCTGGAGGCAGGACCAGATAACTGAGGGGTTCCTGAGGTGTATGAGTGACCTGAGGGTATGCACACTGGAAAGCCTTTACCCAGCATGAGTCATGCCTTCTCTTCCTAGCCTTCCCCAGATTGTATACTTCAGCCCTCCCCAAATCCAGGAGGCCATGTGTGATTAGGGTCAAATTACATACAGTTGGCTGGGAAGAGTGGCTGGATACTCTGGTGAGGGTCCAATGACCCTGCTTGGCTCTCCTTTAATGAATGAGCACAACCGTCAACAAGCCCAGTTGTGACGATGTTTAGCGATCAGGCACAGCTGAAGTCATGATGATGGTAGTCATTTCGTGCTGAAGGGACTGCTGTGTAGCATCATCTTATTAAAAGGCCCTGGAATTTAAATGGATTTGGTGCTAGGATCCACATATGAGGGAGAACATACGTCGTTTGTTTTTCTGAGTCTGTGTTACTTCACTTAGTATAACAGTTTCTAGATCCATCCATTTACCTGCAAATGTCATTATTTCATCTTTCTTTACTGCTGAATAGAGAGCTCCATTGTGTAAATATACCACATTTTTGTGTAAATATACCACATTTTTGTTAACCACTCATCAGCTGAGGGACACTTAGGTTGCTTCCATCTCTTAGCTATTGTGAAAAGAGGAGCA